ACAATAATCACACTTCAGAGGTGACAGCCTGGTGCAGTTCAAAGTTCACTGGCCCCGAGAGTGAAAAATATGCATTCTAGTATCTACTCTGCCATGGAGAAAGGTTTTGGCAAACTCTCAATTCAAATTCAGCTCTGCCATCTAAGCCATGACTTTGGTAAGTAATTCAACTTTCCCAAGTCTTTGATTTCTCATAATTAATAAATATTAAGAGGATTAGGTACAATCAGGTACATAAAAAGTTGTGATAAGCAGAATTTTAAGATGGCCCCTATATCTTCTGTACCTTGGTGTTACTTTCATGATTATGTTACTTTTATATGGCAGATGGGAGATTTTCCATGTGTGCCTAATCTAATCATGTGATCCCTTAAAAAGCAATGAGTTTTCTCTAGCTGGCAGAAGAGGAAGCTGGAGGCAGAAGAAGTTGGAGCCATGTGAGGTGCAGGAAGGATTCTAAGCAGTGTTGCTGGCTTTGAAGATGGAAGGGGTTGTACCTCAATGAATGTGAGTGGCTTCTAAAAGCTGAGAGTAGTCAGCTCCCAGTGGACAGCCAACAAGGAAACAGGGACCTTGGTTCTCCAACCATAGAAAATGAGTGCTACCAACAAGAATAAACTTGAAAGCAGATTCTGCCCCAGAGCTTAAAGATGAGAACTTAGCCTGACCAACAACTTCATTTCAGCTTTTTGAGGTGCTAAGCATAGAATGTAGCTAAGCCAGCCCCCTTCTCCCAGACTTCTAACTTAAAAAATAATGAATGTTGGCCAGGCATGGTGGCTCACGCCTATAATCTCAGCACTTTGGGAGGCCAAAGTGGGTGGATCACCTGAGGTCAAGAGTTCGAGACTAGCCTGGCCAACATGGTGAAACCCCGTCTCTACTAAAAATACAAAAAATTAGCCGGGTGCAGTGGCAGGCGCCTGTAATCCCAGCTACTTGGGAGGCTGAGGCAGGAGAATCACTTTAACCTGAGAGATGGAGGTTGCAGTGAGCAGAGATTGCACCATTGCACTCCAGCCTGGGCAACAAGAGCAAAAATCCACCTCAACAAAATAAATAAATAAAATAATGGATGTTGAGTTAATTAATAGACGTTGCTTTAACTTGCAAAGTCTGTAGTAATTTGGTATGCAGCAGTAGAAAATTATTATGAGTGCTTACTGGTGTGTGACACATAGAAATCATTCACAAATTATATTTCTTATTAATAATTCATGGGCTCAAATAAGTCATTTTAACTTCCTTTGGTTTTAGTTCTTTGATCTGTAAAATAAGGTTTGACTAGTTAAGTTACAAGTTCCACTCTCAATTCTTTAAGTCTAATAATTCATTTTTAGTCTCCTGCAACTATGGTGATACACTTTGATCTGGCATCCCCCATTCACCTCTCCAGATTCATTCTCCATGCCTCAGCACTCTGTGCTATTTCCCAGAAGGCTGACCCTTAAGGACTACACTCATGGGCTCCCTTGTCACTGGCAATGGGAAAACGGAAGGCGCCAGCAGGAAATCAGGGTGATGAAGAAGAATGAGATCTGGGTAATTATTTCCTGGCTTCCTATAAGTATGCAAGGTGATAAAAAGGAAAATGATTCCTAACAACTTGGCAGTATGTGGAAGCAGGGAAAAAGGGTGCTGTGGACTGAACTGTGTTTCCTCAAAGTCCTATGCTGAAGCCCAAACCCCTAATATAAACTGCATTTGGAGTGGGGGCTTTCAGGAAGTAAAGTTTAAAAGAGTCAATAAGGTAAAAGTCACAATCCATTGGAATAGGTTACCTTATAAGAAAAGGGAGAGAGATCTTGTCCTCTACACACACACACACACCCAAGGAAAAGCTATGTGAGCATATGGTGAGAAGGCAGCCATCTGTAAGCCAGTAAGGGAGACCTCACCAGAACTCAACCATGTTGACTCTTGATCTTGAACTTTCCAGCCTCTAGAACTGGGAGAAAGTACATTTCTGTTTAAACTACCAAGTTTGTGATATTTTGTTATGGCAGCCTGAAAAGACTCATATGTGGGCAGGGAAGACTTCTCAGAGATATTCCTTGAGCTGAGACTTTTTGTTTCCTAGTGGTGGGAGGTAGAGTTTTCCAGGCAGAGAACAACATGCAATAAGGCACAAAAATTTCAGGGAATAGTGTGTATTAAGCACTTGGAGCACAGGGTGATTGGAAGGGAAGTGAGAGTGGCTAGAAAAACAAGCAGAAGCCAGATGTTGGGGTTTAATGTCAAAGGCCAAGAAATCTGCCTAAAATAAGTCCAGTGGGAAACTACTGAGGGTTCTCAAGTCATCAGAAGTATATAATAGTATTAATGTTCAAAAGCCCATTCTTGTGGTTGTATGAGAGGCCAGACTAGTAAAGTGGTAGAGAAAAATTTAACTCTGATTGTTGAAATGTGCCCAATGACACCCTCAGGGTCCTAAGTCAAGGATCACCATGAAGCTGGAGGAGGAGGCTAGGTGGGCAGGGTCATAGGATCCCATGTCTACCTCACCCACAGAAGTTCTGTGGCCGCAGACTAGACCTGGAATCTTCGTTACATTCAGGACAACTAGTCTAGAATATTTTACTTTAGAGGCTGTACTGAAAGAGGCTACATATGGAGGTCAAAGGCACCTGCTTCAGGTCTTTTAGTTATGGTGAAAAAGTCAGGGAATTATCAAGAATTCTAAGAGAAATGTGACTGGACTTATGCCAGGAAGATGGGAGAACTGCTAAGAAATACCAACCTGGTGGACTCATCAATACTAGCTGAATGAGAGGCCATATGCAAAGCCCTAGACTTTTATGACTCTTAGATTTTCAGACTACACACAGTTGATTAAATGATAAAACTGAAATTAAAAAGGTTATTTTCATGCTCTTGTCTAATATATTTTCATCTGAATATACCAAAGTGATCAATATAGACATAACAAAAATTACTATAAACTAACTTGCTTTGGGAAAAGATGGTATCTCTTAGGAATAAGCTTTAAAATCTCATGAGCAGTTTTTGGCAATTGCATAGCTGAACTAAAAAGAATACAGGTTAAGTATCTCTTACCCAAAATAAAAGAAGTACAATAAAACAGAGTATCAGATTTCAAAATTTTTTTTAAATTTTGGAATATTTGCATAAACCCAATGAGATATCTTGGGGATGCGGACCAAGCTGAAACATAAAATTCATTTTTGTATCATATACAGCTTATATACATAGCCTGATTGTAATTTTATACAGTATTTTAAATAATTCTGCACACGAAACAAAGGCTTGAATGCATTTTGACTGCAACCTGTCACATGGTCAGGTATGTGAAGTTTTCTACTTGTGGCATCATGTTGACACTCAAGAAGTTTTGGTTTTAGAGCATTTTGGATTTTGAATTTTTTGATTATACGTATTATAAGATTGTAAGGTAAAAACTATGCCCAGGAGAGGGCAGTGCAGTCTTCTATAAAGTTAACTGATAGGCACAATAGAAACTAGTGTGAGCATTAAGAGCTGGGATGTTCTAATCTATGAAAACTATTTTGTGTTAAGTAAATTTACCTTTTTAAAACATGACCGACATATTGCCTCACTTTTATGTCCCTTGAAGAGACAGCACAAGGTAGAGCTATTTATATTTTGTAAAAAAAATTCCTGGAAAATTTTAGCTCCCCAAACATAAAGAATTGTACCAGTTCTAGCAGATTTCCACTGACTGCTATTTTAAACAATTATCTTTGTTTCTGAAAACTGATTCAATAAACTAGTTTTTATAAAAGCTTAATGTCTAAAATTTTATGTGTTTATATTCTCCTTTAATTTACACTGTACACATCTCAAGCGCTGATGAAATTATTTATTCTAAAGGATTTCCTGTGGAAATCTGTAGTACAGTACTGGTTCTCAAATGAGAGACATCCTAACAAGGTAGCTGCTATCCTAAAATTGTATAGTTATCTTTATTTTTCCTGCTAATTCTAACTTTGAGCAGACTTGTGAACTACCATTATGGACTTGACAGCCATTCATAAGCATAGGTTTCAAATACTGATTTTAGATTTATATGACATGCAGTAGTACTTTCAAAACAACCTAAAGATCTATATAAAATTCACATTTTTGACCCACTAACGTTTTTCTTGTGTATGTATGCGCTTCGTTCAAACCAAAACACTACATTTTTTTCTTAAAAAAAATTCAAGTGCTTCAAAGTTTTTCCGTGGTAACTTTACAGCTGAAAATTTTAAAGAGACCTAAATTCAACTTCATTTCCTGATAACTAACATATAAATGCTCAATTCAGTATTCGTATTTGTTTACTGAAAATGTAGAGATGAGATATGAAGTTACCAATTTTTAAGAAGAGAATAAATTATTAAACAGGGCCAAGAGTGGTGGCTCACACCTATAATACTAGTACTTTGGGAGGTTGAGGTGGGCAGATCACTTGAGGTCAGGAGTTTGAGACCAGCCTGGCCAACATGACGAAACCCCATCTCTATTAAAAATACAAAAAAGAAAAGTTAGCCAGGCATCATGACGCACGCCTGTATTCCAGCTACTCAGGAAGCTAAGGCAAGAGAATCACGTGAACCAGAAAGCAGAGGTTGCAGTAAGCCGAGATTGCACCACTGCACTCCAGCCTTGGCAACAGAGTAAGACTTTGTCTTAAAAAAAAATTTTTTTTTAAATAAATTATTAAAGAGTCCTGGAGGATTACCACAAACTTATTTACCACCAGAAAGACATATTCAGTATTTCAGGCTCAGAGGAACTCTTAAAGACAGAAAATAAATCAAACAACTCTTAATATAGCTATTACAGTCGAATCCACTAAGTCAAACTTAATGACAGGAAGATAGAACACTTTACGTTGTATTCATTTTTCCAAAAAGACAATAACAGGTCTGCAACTTAGCAACCATGCTGAAAGACTAGCAAGATATCTCCACTGTCTGAGGAAGTATTGCAAAAAGTATAAATTACTAATGTGGTTGCAGTTTCCAAAACAATACCTCCAGAAGTGCAGTTCGAATCCTTCACATTTTTCTTTGCATTTTAAACAAGGGGCTCCAAATCCTTGCTCGTGACCTAAGCCCATCTGTTAAAAAGAAAACAACATGAATCTATTATTACATTCTTTACAAATCTAAAAATTCAATAACTTGCACTTTTAATTCCACTTACCACTTGTGTTGATAAAACTTTCAAGCAAATCTTATGTTTAGTCAATGATGATACCCAGATATGCACATGGTAGTTCCAAGTGCATACATAATTTAAATTCTGATTGCTTTTTATCATGAAAAGAGAAGCATCAGGATATAACTGTATAGAAAACTACAAATATTGCAAGTAACAAAAAGTCATGAATTCATGTCTTTGGCCACTACATGCCCCATAGCACAGCCCTGTAGTACAACAGGTACAACACTCAGGAAACCATAGCTTAAAAAGCAAGGCTCATCCCAAATACCATATTTTACAGCAAACAAAGAATTACATATTTTAGGAATTACAACTGAAATAATATTTTAATAGGATAAATATTATAATAGCTACAATAGACATTTACTGAATGCCAGTGCTATGGCTTTAATGTTTGTGCTCCTCCAAAATTCATGATGCAACTTAATTCTCAATGTACCAGTATTAAGAAGCTGCACCTTTATGAAGTTATTAGGTAGCTGGGCAATGAAGGCTCCGCCCTCATTGATGGGATTAGCTGAGGGAGTGAGTTCCTCTCTTCCATCTTTTCTGAACCTTCCTCCATGTGAAGATGCAGCAAAATGGTGCCATCTTGGTAGCAGGAGGCAAGCCCACATTAGACAATGAATCTGCCAGTGCCTTTATCTTGAACTTTCCAGCCTCCAGAACTTGAGAAATAATTTCTATTATTTATAAATTACCCAGTCTAAGGTATTTTGTTATGGCAGCAGGAATAAACTACAACACAAGGAATAGAATAAGTACTTATATCTCATTAAAATATTACAAAAGCATATAAAATGCTTATAAGGTAGGCAATATTATTTGCCATTTTTGAAATGTCTTAGTTGAAACTCAGAGATTATGGAATTTGCTTAACATCAAAGTGTTAATAAATGGTAGAGATTTGAGTTCAGGTCTTTCTGACTCCAAGGCCTGTGCCCTTCTGCCTAAAGTTGTGGGGAGGCAAGGAGTGGAGAGCTGTTATTATCGCCCTTGCTATAGTAAACCATCTTTTCTTCTTTACCATATTAAACAATAATCTTTGAGCACTTGCTGATACATGGCCTAATAAGTGCAAGGAGTGGGATGCAGAAGGCAGAAGGACACAAGATGGCAATTAAACTCTTTTACCCAACTACCGATATTAGAGAAAAAAAGAGTAGCCAGCCTTCTATCAGTACAGTAGCAAACCACCAGTAACCAGATTATTCCATGTTTTAAATACTGCATCAGTGACCATGAAGAATTGGTTACTGTTTAGTGCCTAAAGTAGCAGTTCAAGCCAGACAACTAATAGTATTTTTCAATGGCCCTCTTTTGTAACTCTACCACATTGGGTTTGTCACTGTGCAATCAAAACCACATTGTAACTTGTTCCTTGAAAGATCAGTATGACATGCCCTGAAGTTGAAGTGAAGCCTTTCCTTTTGTTCTAAAGAAAATGGCCACATCCTCTTTCCATAACTAAGGCCATATTCAAACCCAGCTGGTCCGCTTAGCTGCTTAAGGGAACCCACATTATTTTTAAGTTAGACCATATCAAGTATACTCTCAAGTATAAACACCTGCCTAGCATTAGCTAAGCTTTATTATCTTTGCCATGTCCATATTACCAATTTTCAAAAGAACTGAAAGTCTTTAAATTGTATATTTAACATCAACACTAAGCTTTTTTTTTTTTTTTTTTTAAAGCAATTAAATTGTTTCCTTCCCACTGATAATAACAGTTCACATAGTATGGAAATAAAGTAGGTTAAACAAAAGACAGAGGGAGACTGTTTGCTGGTTTTGTGTCAGAAGTATAATTACATGTTTTCTCTATTATAATATCCATAGTAAAATGAAAAGCAAATCCAAAAAAGTGTATTCTTTTTCAAGCCCTTTCTAATTTTCCATTACAGAAGAGTTAGTCCTGAATGTGCCTGTTACATGGATATGACTCATACTATGTTCATGTATCTCCTGCTAAATAAACTAATCCCAAATGAAAATTTTGATTATATCATTAAGGCTTAATCACATAGCTTAGCTTAAATCAGAGGCTTTTAACCTCTCTTTTATGTAATTCACAATATGGAATACATTTTACCTCATGACACAGAGCTTGTGTATACATACAAATTTACATATATGTATAAAATCCTGATATTTGCTGACAGATATCTAGAAATATGCTTCTGCCTCTAAATTAAATGGCTACTTAAATTCTTACATGCCTTCAAATTAGAATTGCCTGGTCTGAACAACACTGGGCTTATAAAAGACTGCAAACATCCTGTAACAATACGATCTCATTCTCTATTTCAGAATGCAATGAACTTTCAGTGAAAGTTCAGCTAATGTAACTAGAACCTCCATGAGTCACCAGAGTTTTTGCACTAAGGCTTCTGTGTAGCTCACTGCTGACTTAACAAAGTCTATTTTGCAAAGGGGCAAGTTGTTTTTTCCTACCAATTTTTTATCTTTGTAAATCAAAAATAAAATTCCAAGCCCACGGAGCATCTGAATGGATCCCACCTCTTGGCCAAGGTAATTCCAAAGTTAACCTGAAAAACTCTAGTTCAGGCCATGATAGGAAATGTGGCGTTAGGGGGTGGGGATGGAGAGGAGGTGCTGCTTCACAGCTGGCTCCTACTTTACTGTTCTTTTGGGGCAGATGACTAGAGCGTCAAATGGGGGCTCTTGTCTTCCAAAGAGAGTCACTGGCTAATTTCTGCCCCATAGAAAAGAACTACAAATCCAGAAACACTCTTGTACCACCTCTAAGTATAGATGACTTTCTGAGAGTTTTAAAAAGAGGAGACTTAAATAAGGAAGGCTGGGGAAGCTTTGTGGAAAGAGAGGTGCATGAATTGCAATAAAAAGGCTGAGCAACATCTAACTCAGCTCAGAGGAGAAGTGTATTCAGGGCAGAGGAAACACCATACACAAGGCCTGTGACAGAAGAGGGCAAGGGAAGAGTCAAAAAATTGTAGCGCAACTTGCAGTGTGACAGGGCTGGTCTTGTAGCAGGAGTACTTTGTTTTGTTTTCCTTTTCATTTTCCCAAGGAAGAAACTAAACCTCTTGAAGCATTCAATGCCATATCTTAGGCTAACGGCTTGAGGATGACATCCTCAGAGACAAGCAAGAGTGGTAATGAGGAAAGCCACAGGGCAACGGGGACGGGTGAGGAGCAAGAGCACCTCTCAAGGTCTGCTAGTGGAAGCTCAGGCAGCCCTCACAGGGACGAGGAGACCAGGCCTTGGGAAAAGCAGTAACTTGAGAAACTAGCTCTGTAGGCTTCCCTGGAAAACCCAGAAAGTATTATTCCAGGGTTCTTTTGCCCTGGGGCCCTGCCTGGAAGGTAAATTTAATCTCTTTATGGACTTTTTCCAAATAGGTTTGTGACTGTCTGGAGAAAGTGCCCCTTACCATTCCAAACACATACACTTTCATCTTCCCCATATGCTCAGACTTAAGTGTGATGGAACCTTTAAAGATCCCAAAACCTAAAATGCAATAAAATAAATGGAAAGAAAAAAAAAAAAGATCACAAACGGAGAATAAGGAAGTGAAAGAGAGTGGAATGAGGTCACAGCAATATGATACCCTTTCTCCTACTATAACCCAAAGGAAGCAGTTCTAATTAAACACACACACACATACACACACACGACAAACAAAAATGACATCAACTTTTCAAAATCACTTTTAGCAGCTAGAGCAATTAAGAGTTTCAGACTGGCAATAAACTTATTTTCCTGAGAACATTTCAGTAAGAAAAATTATTTCATAGCTACAAGTATATAGCTACAAAACTTAAACCTCATTGATACCAGCACTGAAGATCTATGACTATGCCTAAGAACTATGTCACATTATTGGATGAGAACTTTTTCCATATTTTTATCCTCTTTATTAACCCTCTGTTAGGATAAAAGCACAATGCCTCGCCAAGAAAGAAGACACGTGATTCATGCTCTGGTGTTTTCCTTGTTTAGGATGTGCCTAGTTTCGGACTGAATTATAATTTAGAATGCAGTTGTTAAATCCAACTTATATTATAAAATTGCATGGTAGCAGACATATCTCTACTGGCAAATTTCTTCTGCTTTGTTCCCACTCCAACTGAGACATCTAATCATCTGCTATTCTCCCCTTCAGAAGTCAAACGTTTATCAGATGAAGGAAAGCATATGGATTCTCATCTGTGGTAAAAGGAGTTTCACAGCCAGAACTGCCCCAAGCAGTTTCTTAGGGCCTATTTTGGGCAGAGTGTCACAAGAACTGAGGTTCCTCAACTCCTCTTGGTTTCAGTTCAAGGATCTGGAACCCCATCCACCCTAAGAGCTCCTCTAATTTCTCTCCATTATTCACTTCACATTATTCATTATTCTCTCACATTATTTTCCATTATTCACTGAATACTTTGTGTTCAGGATTTCATGAAGTCCAGGACCTAGAATTCTTCTCATCCCTTCTTTTTACCCTCAGTATAGACCACACCTTCTCCTTAGGGTCCTTCTCCTTTTCTGAAGAGTCAAGGCTATTATTATTATTGGACATTCAAATCTTGTAGGTTAGTTTCTGCCCAGATATCTGTGCTGGAGAACTCTTGGTAAAGAATATAAATAAAGGAGGTGTTATTTAATGGTGTCCAGGTTACATACAGGGGTTTATGGGAGAGAGTGGGGAGGAAGGGGAACCCAGAGGGCTGGATTAATCATGTGTCAGATTAACTTTGTCTTAGTGTGGTTATTATTCAGCATGGTCATGTGCTCAACGTTTAATCACTAAATAGAAAATAATTATTTGAAAAAGCTAATACATTAATGACTCCTATAAGTCAGAATCACTTGTAAGTCAGTTTGATGGAGAAGTTTTATAAAGTATGCATAGGAAACAAGAG